CAATCATGAGATGAGTGGTACAAATATATAGTCAATATGCAAATTTCTCTAATTCAGTTGGTCAGAGTGTGTAATCACACGTTACATTTATCTGTTATGGCTTTTGAGTCTCCTTTAATCTTGAAGAGTTCCTTGCCTTGGTTTTGTCTTCCATTATATTGACATTTTGTAGAATCTAGGACAGTTAATTTGCAGAATTCTCCTCAATATAGATTTATCTTATTGTTTGTTTATGATTCCAGTAAATCCAGTTGCCATCCAGTGGACTCTGATTCATAGGCATCTCATGTGTGTCACGGAAAAAATGTGCTCCCTAGGATTTTTAATGGCTTATGTTTCTGGACATAGTTTACCAGGGCTTTTTTTCTGAGGCACGTCTGGGAGGACTTGAACCTCTAACTTTTAGGTCAGCAGCTGAGAACCTGGATTCAGGTTAGACGGTTAGACATGTTGGGCAGGGACATTACATAATCGCAATATTGTGTCCTCAATGAAACTTGGAAAACACATAGCATGCTTGTCTCATTACCAGTGACATCAAATTTGATCATCTGGCTAAAGTTATAGGCAACAGATTTATCCATTGTAATTTCCCCCATTGTAATGAATAAGTGAGAGCTCTGGTAGCATAGTGGCTAAGGCACTTGACTGCTAACCAGAAGGCTGGCGGTTCAAATCCACCAGCCACTCCTCGGAAGGAAGATGGGGCAATCTACTTCCATAGTGATACTGCCTCGGAAACCCAAGGAGGGGTCGCTATGAGTCAGATCCGACTTGACGGCACGTAACAACAACAACAACAACAATGAATAAGTAATCGATGGAGTGGTAATTTAAGATTGTGCAAATATCTTTTTCTAATGAATTTTCTCTCAATAGACTTTTATCTATTGATGATCCTATTTTTTTATGTATAATTTAGCGACACAGATTACATTCTTGAAGTTGTACAACTCTTCTCACCCTTGTTTCTGAGTTGTTCCCCCCATTAATATAATTGCATTGCCCCCCTAATGTTCCTCTCTAATCTTTTCATTTGCTGCTGTCAATTTGATCCTATATAGATAGTTCTGTAAAGATTATATTGCTCAAGGCAGACATTCTTTTGCTAGTTAAGTTAAACTATTATTTGATTTTAAGAAGACTCCAGGGAATATATTTGGTTTAAGGTTTAACGATTATCTCCAGGCAGTAGTTTCAGGGGTTCATTCAGCCTTCATGGCTCCAGGAAGTCTAGAGTCCATGAGAATTTGAAATTCTGTTCTGCATTTTCAATTGTTGTAACAGTTGCAAAGTGGTGATTTTAAAGGTGTGACACAGAAGGGCTGCAGTCGGTGCCCCTTCTACAGTTCTTCTTAGGCACTGTATTCATGAAGGGCAGAGATCTGCCCTCCTCCCATCTATACCACCTGTGCTATTTCCCCACATCTCAGGGGAAACCTCCCGCATGCCTTGTTTTACTATCCATCCTCTATATGATATTTAATAATGAGACGCTCTGTGATTATCACATTGTAAAAGGCCTTGAATTTCATATTATGTAAAGAAGGTTGAAAAGGTATATAGGTTTTTGAGTTTGTAAGAACCTTCAACTTTCAGAGTGTAATCCTCAATTCTAAAGATCAAAAATTCTTTGTTATTCATTCATCCATTTGTTCAGTAAATTATTCATTCAACAACTATTATATGCCAGGCATAGTATTAAATCTGAGGACTTTAAAATGCTTTACCCTAAAGTTCTGTAGGATGTATCCAAGTTTCAGTACTAGACAGTCCAGAATGCTTTACGTTGTTTGATATTAATCATGTGACAAACTGTATGACCTCTACAATGTCAGTTCTTTTGTCTTTCAATGTGAATAATAGTGATTATGTCAGTAAATGGATCCCACACACACGTGCATATGTATACAGGCAATGCTTAGTTGGCACAGCACATGTTAACTGAAACATGTATATCTCTGAGATGTGTCTTCCTTTTGCACAGTTTCAATATGCATGAGTTTTAGCGAACATGGGAAACAAAACAGTTGCTGTCAAGTCAGTTCTGACTCACGGAGTCCCCATGTGTGTCAGCGTGGAACTGTTCTCTGTAAGGTTTTCAATGAGTGATTTTTCAGAAGTAGACTGCAAGGACTTTCTTCCAAGATACCTCTAGGTAGACTCAAACTTCCGACCCTTTGGTTAGCAGAGCAGCACTTTAATCATTTGTATCACCCAGGAACTTCTCAGGGAATGTGGCATCCTCTAAAAGCGAGGGCTACCTTTATATACAAAACAAATGCCTGGGATATAACAAGTTCTCAAAATCGTACTTAATAAATCATGAAGACTTTTCACACCTATTTCAGCTTTGCTATTCCACAGCCTCTTTGTGAGTATTCTCAATGATGGTGCAAGCCTTATTTCTCTAAGCAGGTCCCACTCTAACTCTTGTGCTAAGGCCACCTCCCGGTAATTTGCATCCACTTAATCCGGGTTCTGTTCCCAGCAGCAGCTCCATCGTTCATATTGTACATTTTAAAGGCAGTATCTTCTCAGTTTTTCCCAGCAGAATACATTTCAGAGCCAACTTTGGCACCACTAACAGATTGGCATCTCTCTTTAACACAAAGTCTGCATGTGGTTCTCAACCTCTGGGGTAAGGTGCTGAGTAATAGAATTAAAAGAGTTATCCCAGTTGACTGGAAGCCTTATGGACAAACAGGTATGCTATGTAAGAGGGGGGCACATGAGAATCAGAAGGCTCTTCATGAAATACCCCTACTCACATTGCAAAGTTCTTGGGATCTACGGGTCACTGAGATACTCTATCATTAGCTTTAAATCCCTGAACTCTAAGTAGATTTTATGGATTAACATCCTGGTTCCATCAAGTATTTGCTTTGTGGATTTGGGCAATTTATGTAACCTCTGTGTCTCAGTTTTCCCATATGCAAAAGGGAACAATAATGATAATTTCATAGATTTCATTGTGAGTTAAAGCAAGACAGATCTACATAGTAACCATGTAATATATTTTAACCGTCATTATCATCAGTAGTAATATTAGTAGCACTATCATGAAGGGGCCCTTCTTGGTGGAAATTGCTCCCTGGTGTCTCCTTAAGGGACTGCCTCACCTAAGGCACTTTGTTGAAGGTCATTCTTCTTCTTGGGTCAACTCACATCCAGTGTCTGATAAATACAGGAATTTAGGCTTCTCCCTTTTGTCCAACTTGGGACGTATCTGAAGGTCTATTTTTGCTCCAGCACTCCTTATGGGGTTCGCTGAGGTTATTGTATCATAGAGCTCATCTCTTCCCAATCCTGCTTCCTTCCTTCTCTCCACAGGAGTTGATACCAACTGCACATCTCAAAAAATATCCTGCACATTAAACTCCATCTCAGAGTCTGCTTTATAAGGAACACAGCCATTGACAGTAGGATAGAAAGACAATAAACCCTCTCACTCTGATGTTGCACCCCATGACCTAAGTTCTCTGACTATCAGAGTTAGCCCAATATCAGTCTTTGGTGCATTATAGGTGTTTTGAAGGCCTTAATGAGTGGTTCTTGTAAGAAGTGTACAGCCTCTGGGCATTTCTCCAGGGCCGTGGTGGACCACACATATTTTCAGTGAAAAGGGATGGGGCTATAGGAAGACTTTGAGCATGTGGTTAAAAACACTTCCTGTGGCCTTATTTCTGATGAAGTAGAGATGGACATGTCAGTGTGAAATTGGCAGCGCAGCCAGTAAATAGTCCTTTGTCTTCTGGTGGCTGATGATTTGACCTTGCTCTCTGAGTCACAGAAGTGTGACAGCATGGAGCCTGCTGAAGTTCCCTGAGGTGCTGGAGAGAAGCTCCAGACTCCCCCCCCCCCCCTTTCCTATGGAGAGTTCAGATTTGTCCATTGGGAACAAGTTGATAGGGTTTTGTATAGATGCATAGTTTTCCAAATCAATGCTTTTTCTTCTCTTTATTGTAATACAGGGGTACTTCTTGGAGCTCTAGACTCTATCCTATTACGTTTTCTCATACACTGTCCAAAGTGTTTTAGTCCTGCATTCACAAGCTCTTTTTGAATAATAGTAACTTATCTAAGTGAGGGGACTTGAATTCATTTATTAGCACAATATGGTACCAGACTGGGCAGCATTCTGTTTCTCCTTCTTTTGAATTTGCTTCTGGAGAGCATGATTTTTATAGGTTGCGGTAGAGTAGAGGAAAGGTTGGAGGAGAAACCTATAGACGTCAATCCATATATTGTCCTATAGATGCTGGGATATTGGGTCATAAAAGAGGATTAACAGGTTGCTGAACCTCCACTATTTCTCCTTGCAAAGCTATACCGCTCTTTTCATATTGGGCAATGGCCTAAACCCAAGCCAACTAAACTATTTTCCCAAGGAATGGGTTCCAAGATGTAAGATGTAATTCCAAAACAGAAACTACTTTATGGACTATTTCCAATTCTGTTTTAGTGTGATAATTTTAAAACACCTATCAGCAGTTAAGAGTAAAAATTTTTTCAAATACTTTTAACTTCTGATTTTCAAATGTTGATTATAAATGAATGAATAAATGCATTGTTGTAGCCAAATGGACAATCCGATCAAATATAAACTTCATGCTTGAATCATATTTGTCTTGTTTTCAATGTTTAATGTGTTCATTCTGTAAAATAATATTTTTAAAATTGATAGATTTTAAAAGGAGAAATAGAAGACAGTCTAGTTTCTCTTTTCTGCTTATTTTGATTCTTTTTTTTTGGTTCATGGCTATAATGTACAAACTGAACTGAACATAAATTCTGTTTTATATTTTGTTTTTGTGTCACTTAAATTCTTTGCCTCAATTAACAGGTTCCCCTCCCCACCCTATATTATAACAGTCAATTAATAATGCATATTTTACTTTTTATTCTAACATATATAAAATGTCTATTGTATTAGCAGTTGTCTTTAAAATATTTTCTGTGAATAAAACCCCATTATTTTTTAATTTGATAATATATAGGGTAGAGAAGATAACTTGAAAAAACTCATTCGAAATGAAGTGTCTACTACATTACTGATTCAGGTAATACTCATTTAGTTCCAATATTTTATTCTTCCTTTAATTTGCATTTTACTTAGCATTTTAAATTTGCCTGTAATGAGGCATCTTTTCACTACTTGCTTTGCAAGCCAGCAGTTTTCTTTCCTTAGCTGATGACAGTTGCCCTCTGTGTACAACTAGCAGTGTCTGATCATGCATAAAGAAAGTGACCTCCCATACACATATCTCATTTTGTGGCTTAATGGGAATTTCTGCCAGTCTAGTAAAAGGGCAGTGGGATCTTATTCCTAAGTGCCTAACTCTTTAGTTTGCTTTGTGATGATGTTATGTTTTCTTTACTTTTAGTGTCTTTCACTTGAATTTCTTTATTTAACCCTGAGAGAAAATATGCTGTGAGATATTTCTTTATGAAGATTTTGAAACTAAACATGATAGCTAGAAAAATTAATCTTCTTGATTTTTCGGTTCTTAATTTACGACTGCATATCTTTTGCAAACACAGGGTGGGTTTTTCTGATGCCAGGCATGCCTCTAGGAAGTCTGTCTTTTCAGAGGCCCCCGGGGAAAGACGTGGTGAGCTGCTTGCATGGAGATCACGGCCTAGGAAATCCAATGGGGTACTTCTTTTCCATCACCTGGGGCCACTGGGAGTCAGGATCGGCTCAATGGCACCCGGCAACAACAACATGCACATACTTGAAGTTATTATCACAACATGCACATACTTGAAGTTATTATCATAAGAAAAGTAAAATCAACGGACAAAACAGTTCAAAATCATGTTTGTTGGTTTTTGAAGTTACTTGATATTGTCTGCACTTGTGGTCCTCTTGGAAGCAAAGTATTTGTCATTTCTTCTATTAGGAAATTTGTTATTTTTAAACAGTGAAGCAGTGCTTCTCTGCTTCTTTTCTATGTTTGAATGTATCAAATCTACTGATTTGTTTCTATCCACGTATGCTCAATAACCCCATAGTCTACCCAGACTTTGCTTTAATTAACAATCTGTTACTCACTTCCTGTTCATTTGTTATATTTGACCTTACTTTGCAAGAATCAGGAGCTCTGCTCGCATAGTGCCTAAGGCATGTGACTGCTAACCAGAAGGCAGGTGGTTCAAACCCACCAGCCACTCCTCGGAAGGAAGGTTGAGCAATCTACTTCAGTAGTGATACCAACTCGGAAATCCAAGGAGGGGTCGCTATGATCCGACTTCACACCAGTGCGTTGCAAGAATTACATGTATTGAAGTATGTTTTGTTTGTCCATTCTCTAATTTATTGCCATCCAGTACATACGTAAGAAAGTTTGATTTTTATTTTGTTTATATTTTTTTTCTCACATTTCTTTTAATAATAACTATGTGCTTGTTAAATACACCATATTTTACCCATTGCTTTTATAGTGGCATCATCTTTCTGATTTTCAAATAACAGTGAAGATCGTTACCTGGCACAATTTAGGACCTCAATAAATGTTTAGATAATAACTGAATCATTTATGATCTTTACTGGCAGAAAAACCTGTGTTGTGTTCAAGACGCCCAGGGAAAGGAGAGGCAGGACCTCACAGATAAGAAAACCCTATATGCCCTAACATTGACACAATTGGAGGAACCGCTGGTTGAACTAGAAGAAGAAGCCATCAGAATCAGAAGTCTCCATGAGGAACACTCTGACGTAAGCATTTGTAAATGAATATTTAGGTTGGCATATCTTATATGTGATCTTAAATTATTTGAAACATGATAATTTCAAACAAAAAAGAAAAGAAAAGGCATTGCCATTGAGTAGATTCTGACTCATACTGACCCACAGGACAGAGTAGAACAGCCCCATGAGATTTCCAAGGCTGTAAATCTTAACAGAAGCAAACATGGCTCATCATCTTTCTCCCATGGAGCAGCTGGTGGGTTTGAACCAGTGGCCTTTTGATGAGTAGCTGAATGCCACCAGAGCTCATTTGATTTCACACAGGAAGACATAAAAGCATAGACAAGCTAACCAGATCTGATCCACAGTGGAACTATACAGGAAGACCATTTAATGCTTTTACCCAGAATCCCACACTCAGAAAAATAGCTTCCATATAGGTGCTTAGTGACTTATTTGGTGTGACTCTGCACCATGGTAAACTTTATCCAAAGTCTTTATAGTCTATTAATGAAATGCTGAAGTTGTTTTTACCCAAATATAAAATACAATGCATCTTGATATTCTCATGGTAAGTTTTTGTGTATTTAGAAGTTAAGAAAGCAAAGGTGAAAAATACAGCACACACGAGTAACATATTTACAAAACAACAAGTTTATGGCAGTAACTGATATTACTAGCCCTTCCCAAAGAAAAATTTAATGGAAAAATATGTACATATCCCGCCATTAGTCTTTTTAAGAACTAGAGGGTGTGGTAAGTGTTATATATCCTTGTCCTTATCTCCAACAAGGACATACATATATTGATTTGGGCCATTTTGGCAAAAAGGGCTTGTTTGTTTGTTTTTTTTCTTCTGCAAAGGATGATGTAGTTTTATATTATCAGACTTTAATGATTTTAAAAATTCCATCATTTAAAAAAAATATGTTGTGGTTTACAAAACATTCATGTCACCTAAGTTTAATCTGATCTTTAAAACCTTCATATGAAATGGGCAGGAGGGAGTTCCTTTTTACTACAGACTTGAGTAAAGCTTGGTGCCAAACAGGCTAAACAACTTGCACAATGTCATAAAGCGTAAGAAACAACAAATTCGGGACACATTAGTCTGTTCATGACTGCTCAGGGGACTCAAACCAACTCAAGGGCACCAAATAGCAACAATGCGATCCCAGTGCTCATGCTATTAATATAGAATGAGCATTAACACCTAGTGGGATAAATTATTTTAATAACAGCTCTCCCTTACATTAATGATGGAAATTTATTAATTATATCAAAAGCCTCAGTATAATTGCCTGAGTATGATAAAGAACTTCAGAAAAGATTAATGATGTTTATTTCCCCTTATTTTACAATAGCTATTGTTTTATTATTTTCTTAGAGTTCAGTAGTCATTTTTGTTATTATTCTATTTGATAGTTAATCAATTTAGTGTACATGTTTTGAAAGAATAAATGTTTACCTTTTAAATATTTATGCTGACAATTTGTACTTAGATTTTTTAATTTTGGTTAAATATTTTAAATACTTTCATGGAAATTTATAATTTCTATGGAAAAAGAGTTGGCAGTCTGCTTCCATGAAGATTTATAGCCTTAGAAACACTGTAGGGCAGTTCTACTCTGTCGTATATGGTTGCTTTGAGTCGGAATTGACTCGACAGCAGTGGGAAGTGAGTTTATTATTACTAGTTTTTCTCACTTAACAAAATTGATCAGAATCAATATGCTTCTAATGGAACATTGGGGTTTCTGGCATCAAAGTATGTTTTGGAAATACACCTGTGGTGCTTCTTTCCCTTCACAACCAAAAAATAGTGTTAATATTAAAAAAGTTGCTCGAGCACTACTTTGTCTAAACCAAAATAATTGGATTTTAAGTCCTACGTATCTCAATATCTGAATTATCTTCTAGAAACTTAATGAAATAATGGAGAAGAAAAAACATATTAAAAGAAATGTGGAAAGAACAAGGAAAAAGTTGAGACTACAGGAGAAGAAAACCCGTGAGGCACTAACACAAACAGAGGTAAGAGACTGAATATTAGAAAATAATGTTTAATTACAAGTTTTTATGTTAATGAAAATAATTCAAGCAAACTTAGTTTTAGGTGGATGCCTCTGAGTTCTAACTAGTTCTGCACACACACACAGGGTCTCTGTGTCTTCTCTGTGGCTTACATTGTCTTTTTCATTGGTCTAGTATGTCATAGGGGAGCTCTGGTGACTTAGTGCCTAAGGCATTTGACTCTTAACCAGAAGGCTGGTGGTTCAACTCCTGGGAAGGAAGACTGGGCAGTCTACTTCCTTAGTGATACTGCCTCGGAAACTGAAGGAGTGGGTGCTATGAGTTGGATCTGACTCGACAGAAGTGAGTTTGGTTTTTAGATTATCCTGGGCATAGCCTTTAGTCAAGATACAATGCAAAGCAAAATTGATACTGTGGTCATGGTATAGTCTACTGCTGTTTGAAACTGTTATGCTGATTCCTTAAAGCTTAGGGCTTTAAGGGAGAAATGAAGGAGAAGGAAGAAAGGAAAGATGTAAGGGATGGAAGGGAAAAAAGGAAGGAAGGGAGAGAGAGAGGAAGGAGGGAGGAGGGAAGAAGAAAAAGATGTTGAAGCTGAACTTAAGAAAAATAGTACTTTCATTCAACAGATAGAGTCGTTTATTAAAGGATGATATTTATCTATTGTTTAAGCCACAAAAAAATTATCTGACATTTTAAAATTACTAAATATCACATTTTACATAAATGTCCTTATAAACTGGCAACAATACCATAATTGTATTAATTTTAATATTTTATTTGAAAATATAGTTTAATATATTTAAATTTAATTTTTTTTTAAAATTGTATAACTCGTTAATTTTTTTCAACTAGTTACTAGTAAGAGTTTGTTCTCAGAAAGTATCTTTACTCAGCCGATTAAAGTGAATTTTTTCCATTAATCTGACTCTTGGCCTGTTATCCATAGCTTTTATTTAGTTTACCAGGCTTGGACAACTCTATGAAATAAAATGAAACTGTATTTCACTAGGGAAAACATCTCCACTCTCTTCTGTTTTCATGAAAATTGTCTGGAGGATAATGTCTCTAAATTATATTATTGGAGCCATAGCTCATATAGAGTACCTTAGAAGTACAGTGTTGTTGTTAGGTGCCGTTGGGTCATCTACGACTCATAGCGACCCCATGCACAACAGAATAAAACACCAGCCGGTCCTGCACCAGCACCATGATCCTTCCTATACCTGAGCCCATCATTGCAGCCACTGTGTCAATCCATCTGGTTGAGGGCCTTCCCCTCTTTTGTTTTCCCTTCACCTTACCAAGCATGACATCCTTCTCCAGGGAATGGTCCCCTCTGACAACATGACCAAAGTAGGTCAGACGAAGTCTGGCCAACCTCGCTTCCAAGGAGCATCTCGGCTGCACTTCCTCCAGGACAGATTTGTTTGTTCTTTCAGCAGTCCATGGTACTTTCAGCATTCTTCGCCAGCACCAAAACTCAAAAGCATCAACTATTCTTCAGTCTTTTTTATTCGCTGTTCAGCTCTCACATGCATATGAGGCGATTGAAAATACCACAGCCTGTGTCAGGTGCACCTTAGTCCTCAAGGAGGCATCTTTGCTTTTCAGCTCTTGAAATAGGTCCTTTGCAGCCGATTTGCCCAATGCTATATGTTGTCTGATATCCTGACTGCTGCTTCCGTTGGTGTTGACTGTAGAAGCAAACAATGTGAAGTCTTTGACAATTTCAATCTTTTCTCCATTTATCTTGATGCTACTTATAGGTCCAGTTGTGAGGATTTTTGTTTTCTTTATAATGAGATGTAATTCATACTGCAGACTGTATGCTTTAATCTTCATCAGTAAGTGCTTCAAGTCACCTTCATTTGCAGCAAGCAAAGTTGTGTTGTCAGCATATCGCAGGTTTTAATGATTCTTCCTCCAATCTCAATGCCATGTTTTCTTCATATAGTCCAACTTCTCGGATTATTTGCTCAGCATATAGATCGAATAAGTATTGTGAAAGGATACAACCCTGACACATTCCTTCTTGAGTTTATACCATGCAGTGCCCCCTTGTTCTGTTCAAGCAACAGCCTCTTGGTCTATGTACAGGTCCCTCACGAATACAATTAAGTGTTCTGGAATTCCCATTCTTCTCAATATCATCCACAATTTGTTATGATCCACACAATCAAATGCTTTTGCATGGTCAATAAAACACAAGAAAACATCTTTCTGGTATGCTTTGCTTTGAGCCAACATCCATCAGCTATGATATCCCTTGTTCCACGTCCTCTTCTGAATCCAGCTTGCATTTCTGGAAATTCTCTCTCAATGTACTGCTACAACTAGTTTTGAATTATCTTCAGTAATATTTTACTTGTGTGTGATATTAATGATATTGTTTGATAATTTCCACATTCTGTGGGATCACCTTTCTTTGGAATGGGTACAAATATGGTTCTTGAACATATGCCACCTCCTGAAATAGATGAACATCAACCAATTCTTTTTGGTACAGTGACTCTCTGTATTCCTTCCATCTTCTTTTGATGTTTCTTGCATCATTCAATATTTTGCCCATAAAAACCCAACCCACTGCTGTCAAGTCATATATGACTCATGGCGATCCCTCCTTGGGTTTCCAAGGCAGTATCACTACAGAATCAGATCGCCCAACCTTCCTTCCAAGGAGTGGCTGGTAGGTTTGAACCGCCAGCCTTCTGGTTAGCAGTCGTATGCCTTAGGCACTATGCTACTAGAGCTCCTATGTGCTCATAGAATCTTTCAATATTGCAACTCAAGGCTTAATTTTTTTCCTCAGTTCTTTCACCTTGAGAAATGCTGAGAGTGTTCTTCTCTTTTGGTTTTCTGACTCCAGGTCTTTGCACATTTCATCATAGTAATTGGCATTGTCTGCTCGAGCTGCTCTTTGAAATCTTTGGTTCAGCTCTTTTATCTTGTCATTTCTTCTATTTGCTTTAGCTACTCTCCACTCAAGGGTAAGTTTTAGGGTCTTGTCTGACATCCATTTTGGTCTTTTCTTCTTTTCTTATCTTTTTAATTACCTCTTGCTTTCTTCATGGGTGATGTTCTTGATGTCATCCCACAGTTCTTCAGGTTTTCGGTCATTGGTGTTTAATGCATCAAATCTATTCTTTAGATGGTCTCTAAACTCAGGAGGGATATATTCAAGATCATATCTTGGCTCTTGTGTACTTGTTTTAATTGTCTTCAACTTCAAGATGAACTTGCATATGAACAGTTGATGGTCTGTTCCACAATCAGCTTCTGGCCTTGTTTTGGCTGAAGATATTGAGCTTTTCCATCACCTCTTGCCACAGATGTAGCCAATCTGATTCCTGTGTACTCCAGTTGGTGAAGTCCACATGTATCCACAATTTGTGTTGTTGAAAAAAGGTATTTGCAATGAATAAGTCATTGGTATTTCGAAATTCTAACATGTGATCTCCAGCATTATTTCTGTCACCAACGCCAAATTGTCCAATTACTGGTGATTCTTCTTTCTTTCCAACTTTTTCATTCCAGTCACCAGTGATAATTAATACATCTCCTACTGTGTGTAAGCATTTCAATCATTGGTCAAGCTACACAGTATTACTGTTTATTTATTTTTAACCCCAATTTAAAACTCACATGTAAAACCTAAATTTATTACATTTAGATTACATAAAAATATAATTATTAATTATTAAATTTGAGATAAAAATGAAAATATAATCTGAAATAGATATTTTAAAATATATTTTTATTATCCAATATATTTTTTAATTATAGGGGGTGAAATATTTGAAAAAATAAATCAATGAAGAATACCCTATAACAATAATGAAATAGAATTCAGATTTCCAGAATCTTCCAAGTCTAGATGTGAAAGTAGCTTTGGATAGAAAGCCTTTAAATTGATGGAACCTGTGTCACTCAGACTAGAGGAAGAACAGTACCAAAAGATAGTCAAATTATAAATACATTGTTTTTATGGCTCCATTCCAATTTGCTATAGTGACATTTTAGCATTCATCAAAAGACTTAGAAATAGTTCTTCGGCCCGCCAGCTTTATCTCACACATGAAATGCAGATTTGTGCTCTTGACGTAAATGTGGCATACAAGAGTGTCTTTTCTCCAGACTCAACTCATTATGAGGACATCTCCACTTGTTCTTTGTGACATGAAGGAAGATATGTTGCCTAAGTTTACTAAAACATCATTTATTGTACCTAATAATCAAAAAAATACAAACCCACTGCTGGAGTGGATTCTGACAGAGCGAATCTACAGGTTAGAGTTGAACTGCCTCCTAGGGTTTCCAAGGCTATAAATCTTTACAGAAGCAGACTGCTACATTTTTCTGCTGCGCAGCAACTGATGGGTTCGAACCTCTGACCGTTTCGTTAGCAGCTGAGGGGTTTAACCACACTGTACCACCAGGGCTCTCTCTGGTGGTACCTTTTCACTGATACCTGCAGAAGTGTACTTCCTCACTTTACTGTAGAATCCTCTGGTATCCTCTTTAGTATTACTGAATTTTCTGGTATGGTGCAAGTTGCTTCTGAAGTCTTCTAAGTCTACCATGAAAATTGTCATTTAAGACATGAATTATCAAATCTGATCAAAATTCAAGTTTAGTGACAGATAATATATTCTACCTCAAATCACCCATCCCTTCGGACTCCTACCTACTTACTTTAATCCTTATTAGTGCCACTGCACACCCTCTTTCTTTAGGTTCTCTTCTTCTCCAGGAATAACATAATGCTCAATAAATGCACTAAACTCACTGCCATCGAGTCACTTCTGACCCATAGTCACCCCTCCTTGGGTTTCCGATGCTGCATCTCTATGGAAGTAGATTGCCCAGTCTTCCTTCTGAGGATTGGCTGGTGGGTTAGAACCGCCAGCCTTCTGGTTAGCAGTGAAAAATCCCATCTAGCCACCTCTCAACTGCATTCTGATCTAATAAAAACCTCTTTTAAAATATCACCCATATGAGATCAAATGATCCACAATTACTTTAAAACAAAGAGATTGTAAGAGAACAGGAAACCTGGACTAATGGAAACGGAATAAGCAGGAAGGAAATTATGACAATGCCCATGCACTGTGAAGACTGTGACCATTGTGTGGAAATTGTCCAGTGTGAACCTGAACTGCTGTGTGGATAAAACTTCAATGAAAACACAGTAATATACTATTAAAGTAAAAGAAAAGAAAAGGAGAAACCCAACATCTGATTTATTTGTAGAAAATGCCAGAACAAACAGAAAAGGAAAGAAAACAAAGAGGATGTAAAGATTCAAATACAATACCCAATTTTCAACATTTTGGACAAAAAACAGGTATTTTTTGAGAAAATAAGTATAAAAGATTAGCAAGTCTACTTTAAATCTCTAAGAGTAGAGAAAATTAGGGTTATATGAGGAGAAATAGAGGAAAGCAGGAGAAAAGAAAGTTATGGATTTTATGGAAGCAGTTGGGAGAGCAAGCACTAATTAGAAGCAATGATGGATGTGACAAGCTACATTGGGTTAGTCAAAGTCAGCCAGTCAGTCAGTCCATCAACACAAACTCCAACGGTCATGAAGGAATCACGCAAAAAGAAATGGAAAATCAGATATTCAGTCTGGACTTGCACAGGCCAGCTTTGGGGAATTGTGCTGGTATTAAATATTGACTTCTTTTTCATGAAAGATCAGAACAATATATCCTTGCTTGCTTGCCTATGAACATGTATGAAAAACAGCTACCCCATGTTTGCTTGCATCTTGAAAATGGATGCCTTTACATATGTATATGTGGGGGGAGGGCAAGTTTGTGAAGGAAAGAGACACAGAGACAGAGAGAGTGAGAGACAGAGAGAAAGAAGAAAGAGAATGAGTAGTGTGATAGTTGAAGATGTGTCAACTTGGCTGGACTCCAGTTGTGAATGGTGGTTCCCATGATGGGATCAGATGACTGAGTTCTGAGCGGCCGGTCTGCCCAAGGGGAGTTTCCCCAGGGGTGTGGCCTACCTGCAATGCTATTCCAAGGACAAGCTGGAAGAACAGCATTCTGGACTATATACTTCCTTGAGTGAGCGGCTCGCCGCTCGCCCTGGAGGTTTCGGATTCATCCTTTGTTGGGAACAGCAACCAGCGTGCTGTGTGCCAGCTTGATTCTCTCAGCTCTGTTGTGCTTACGGGAACCAGGCGGCTCCGGGCCTCATCTCCTCCAGAGACGAACTTTTCAGCTTGAACTTGTCGGCTTCTACACGCTTGTGAGCCATTTACCTAAGATAAATCTCTCTCTCTCTCTCTTTCTCTCTCTATACATATATATATATACTTTGCTGATTTTTGTGTTTCTCTAGAGAACCCAATCCAACACAAGTAGATTATTCAAACTTATCTTTTTAGAAAATCACATCAGCTGTCATAGTAGAGAGAAGAATATAAACTGAAGTTGTTACTTATATTGAAGAGAAGGAACTATTTACTTTATTATTATTATTGGCATAGTTTCTATCTTTTATTGAAACCTAAGAATCCTTTTTTATATATAATTTATTTTATTTTTCTTGCTGTAGTTGAGAATACACACAGCCGAACATACCCCAATTCAGCAGTTTCTACATGTATGATCCAGTGGCATTGGTGACATTGTTTGAATTGTGCAACATTCTCACCCAAATTCTCTGAATTATTCCTTCCCCAATAACATAATGTCACTGCCTCCTCAATGTCCTATCTGACCCTTTAAGTGGTTATTTTCAATTTGATCCCATATAATCAATTCTGCCTCATAAATCCTATTGGACCCATAGGGTTTCCAAGGCTGCACATCTTTATGGAAGCAGACTGTCTCATCTTTCTTCCACAGAGCAGCTGGTCACTACAAACTACTGACCGCTTGGTTCACAGTTGAACACTTCAACCACTGTGTCACCAGACCTCCTTTGATCCTCCATTGATAGATTTTAGTCTATCAGTGATCCTCCTTTGATCCTCCATTGATAGATTTTAATAGAGTACAGGGACCAAGGCAGACATTTCTTACTGGTTACTGAGCTATGTACTTGTACTTGTTCACAAGGTCAACATAGTTGTGTACTTAAAATGCAATGGTTTGAAAATCTAAATATTTAAAGTAAAACACCCGTTCAATAATTTTTTTTCAGGAAAAACGCTCAACAATTTTTAAAGAAATAAGTGAAACTAAGAGTAAAACATCAATTTTTCAAAGCAAAATAAATAAATTGAATGAGGAATTTCTATTAAAGGACCAGGAAAAGAAAAATTATGATAAGATACTTGACATTTTAAAGTGAGTACTTAAATTTTATCAAAATACTAAATATATTTCATATATATTGATATAAGAGATAAGATTGTTTGCATATTTAAGTTATTCTTAAAATGGTCAGTATTTTCTGTCATACCAGATAAAATACACATGAGATATTTAATTTATAAAAAAAGCATAATCATATTGTTTTATTCTTCATTACTCCCTGGATTTGTTATTATTTCAACTAGTAGGAATGTTTTTCCTTTTCTAAGTAAATAAATGTTTACTATTTATTATATTAATGATCTTTTTAATTTCAGTTTTTCTCATTTGTGTACCATATTTAATCATTTATAGATTTTCACTCAACCTTTCAGATTAATAATTTTGAGTTAAGAGTTTAGAAATAAGATCTACAAAACCTCATTGAATGTGTGCACATTTCTCATCTTCCAAAGCCACTTACTCAGAAACCTCCACCATCTGGGGCATACCATAATGAGAGTTGTAAGGGCCCTAGGAGAATGTTCTAGGGCTTACAGGGCATCTTGTAGACCCTTGCCTAAAACTTACTTACTCTTCCTTTTCTCCTCTTGGTTCATATTTCCTATTTTATAATATATTGAAAACAGGGCTGGCGATATTAGAGGAATATGTATTGGCTGTATTTAAAAATGATACTTTGATTTAAAGATAGAAGGCTGATAAAAATGTTAGCAAACTTTTAGCTCATGAGAGATGAAGTGCCAATAAAGAAAGAAAGAAAGAAAGAAAGTAAGTAAGTAAGTAAGTAAGTTATGTTTGGCCTGATACCACATAGATTAATGGATTCAAGTCAGTGCATTCAACAAGGAATGTTTAGCTATTACCATAGAGTAAAAGCTTATTTCCAAAATGATTATTTAGCTTTATCTAAAAAAGGCTAAATTATATTCATTATATCCTATAAGAAAGCAAACAAACAA